CCTCTCATTATATGACATATATTTATTAATTTTTTTAAATCTTTTTGTATTTTGTTATAATTCATTTATTTTAAATACAAAATGCATTAATTTAATTTATTAAATATGTAGTGTTCTTTGTGGTATTTGTGTTTAGTAGTTAAATTATTTTGACCCAATTGAATTTGAATAGTTTTGAATCATTCATTTATTATCCCTGCTCTAAATAAGTACTCTTTTTTCTGAATGAGTCAGACTAATTGATCAGAGTACATATTTTTCTTTTCAAACAAAGAACTGAAGTAGTAGTTAGATTGCATGCTTTTTAGTTGGACTAACTCTTCTGGAAGGGTGAAATTGAAGTGCAAATGCTGTTGAATATATGTAGATGTAGAATTTTATCACCCCCTTTCTCCTCATTTTAGATATTTGTTAAAAATTAATTTTTTATACAAATAAATATTAATGTAAGTTAAATATTAAAAATACTAACTATAAAAGTATTTCAGTTTTTATTTACATATAAAAGGTAACCTGGGGTATAAAAGTATTTACACCCCAGGCTCCTTTCAGAGTAGGGTACCCTAGGGTACCCCCTGTGAGTGCCTCTGCCCCTCATAAAATGACTTGGTATTTAATTTTGCCTGAGTCAGAGTTGACCTGCTAAAATTATCTGGAGTCAGAGTCAAATGTTTTTTTACCGACTCTGCAGTCCTGGTTATAAGAAAGTAGTACAGTACTTTAATTACCTGATGAAATGGAGAAAGTGCCTTGTTGTACTTTATTCAAGCTTCATAAAGTAGCCAAGACTAAATTTTCATTGTTCTCAAATTTTCATTGTTTATTAGTTCTATAATACGTTAATAGCATAAAAGTAATTTATTAATAATGATTTATATTTCTCATTTTTGTATTAAAAAAAATTTTTTCATAATTTTTGGATTAATAACAAACAATTTATATATGTAATAATTTAAATATATATTCACTAACTCATTAAAGTGTCCACAAGTATTTAAAAATATAATTTTTTTAAATAAATTTTTTAATAAAATTAACATTGTTAAAAAGGTAAAGCTGTAGATAACAAGAGTTATTTATGTTTAGTTGTATTAGGTTATTTGTTTTTTTTCCCTTAATAAATTTTTTCTCTAGGCTTTAATGCAAAATAAAGATTTACGTATGAGACTTCAACAGATTCACGCAACCTCTGATGTTGGTAGTACTACAACATATATCTCAGGCACACCTACAGCAGAAAATGCAGATGAATCCACAGTAAGTGTGAAATGATATATTTTTATTTATAATTTTTGAATTATTAATAATTGTTTTACTGTTTTAGAAATTAAATATTAAAATAACAATCCTGAAATAATATGATAAAAATAATTAAATATTTTTTAAAAAACATTAATAAAATAATTTTATTGACATGTTGACTTTTAAACTTCTTAGTAAAAACTTCTTGCAATACTTTCATCCAAATATATCTAACATCTTACACATTCTTCATAATGTATTTGCTTTTCTTTTTCTTTACTTTCTTTAAAAATTGTTTTTCAGAAAAATATCTTATGCTTAGCAATAATTTCTACTCTGAAAATAAAATAGTTTGGTTATTGATATGCTTTTGATTCCAGTCTAGTTTTAAGTTATCCACATTAATTTAAATAATTAATTAATTAATATAATTAACATTTTGAGGAATGATATATAGTAAAGTGAGGTAATGTGAATTGACATTTTTATTCTGATGCTTGTCTTGGTTAATTTTTAATATAATTATACAGTTTTTTTATTGCTTAATAGTGTGTTTATCCTGCTTAGTGGTTTACCCTGCATTTTGATCTACATTTGCTTGTTTTGTCTTGAAGAGAAAAAAGTTGAAAAAGTTGTTTTTTTGGTGTTTGAGAAAATAGTAGGGTAATGGAATATAATATACCACATTATCCACAATTTTTATTCACATGTGTTAAAAGAAGTGACTCATTATTTTCATCATTTATTACAAGAAATTTTATTTGAAGCACTTATTTTCTATATTTGTTTTATTGAAGAACTAGCAGATGAGCCCAGCATTGCCCAGGCAAAATAATAGCAACAAAGGTTAGGATTATTAGATTATTTCGTACTTTTAATCTTTCTATTATATTATAGCCAGTTGAAAGGCCCGATGCAGGCATCGGGGCATGAGCACGGACTCTGACAATTCCTAGCTTTGCCACTATGCTTTGCTGGCACTTGATACGTCAACACAGACTGACCACTTTTTCAGTAGCAACAGCAGAAGTCAACTTGCCATTTCTCTCTTGATGCCACAACTGTAGGTTATTTGCTCTGCACAATTGATAGTCCTGCTTCATTGTATTAAAAATTTGGTCATGTATGAAATTGTACTAATCATATCTATCACGTATTAAATTGGAAAACTGGACATTCTCTTTGGTGAATTCTTTCACTCTGGCGAATTTTTTCACTCTGGCATCATCTTCTTAATGTGCCATCTCCTGTCAAAGGTTGGCAATCCATATAGCTAACATTGTCCTCGATATAGCAGCTCGGAATATCTCCATAGATACCTTGTGGCCCGAACCACCTTGTGATGTCTTTCAACTGTTGATTCTTTGGACTTCCAATAGATCTTTTTCCTTGTATTTTGCCTTTTAATATTAGTCTAAGTATTTGATATTTCACTCCTCTCATTATATGACTTTTTCTGTGTTTTCATGATTTTGATGGTCAGCAGGAGTTCTTTTTGCTTGTTCATGCAGTTCAGGACTTTAACATTAGTAATCCTTTGCACCCATGATATTCGAAGTATTCGTCTGTACAAATACATTTCAAAAGCTTCAATTCTTCTCTCAGTTTGGGAGTCCAGATTCCAACTTTTGCATCCATTATAGCAGGATGGAGAAGATTTAACGTTCGAATCCTCAGACATAAACTCAATTCGGATCTAACGAAAAACATTTTCATATTCATAAACGATGTTCTGGCTTGTTCAATCCTTGCTCTTATTTCTTTACGCTGATCACATTGTTCATTTATTATTGTGCCGAGGTATTTGAGAGATGATACTTGCTCGATAGTGTTCCCATGAATGAGAAGATTTGCACTTTTTCTTGTTTTTGAGAACACAAGAAGTTTGGTTTTGGTAAAATTCATGAAGAGACCATGCAGTTCACTGTACTCGACAATACAGTCCATCAGTTGTTGTAATTCTTCGGGACTACTTGCTATAACCACTGCATATCTAATGTTGTTTATCTTTTTCTGCACTCTGGCATCAGACATTATTTGGGCAATGGAAGGGCAGTTTGTTTGTTTTTTCATAAACACTTAATCATTCTTTTTCTGCACTCTGGTTAGTGAGAGAAAATGTACATCAAAGAACATTTCAGACAGTTATCTGAAATGCAAGGACCACAAATCTCTTGTCATATTAAAATATTTTTGTTTCATTTCTAAAGCATACTCTACTAACTGTTTTTCCAGTTTCTTGGACTGGGCTGAGTTCTGATTTACAGGAAGCCTTGCAACTTCATCAATGCTTATTTCAATACTTTACCAGACAGAAAGTGTCAACCATGGAATGGAAAATATCTTAGCAGATATCATAAAAACCATTTTCCCCTTTTTTATAGCTTGAATTACTTGCATATTATTGTCAGGCAACCACTGATTTTGCTTTACTTCTTTTTTTTTGGTATCTTGACTACAATCTTAAGAAGACAAACATAATTTTCCTGTTATACAAATATACTTACAAAACTACATATAAATTAGACATATTATAGCCCAATAAGAATCTGGCTGAATTATTTGAGTATTACAAAATAACTGATTCAATGAACTCAATATAACAAAACAAAGCTACACACATTTATAAGTTGAATAATGTGGAATACTATTCCACTTTAACTACCGTTTAGTATTCCTCATTACCCTCATTTTGACATTTTATTTCCTGCCATTTTCTTGAAGACATGACCATAACAGAGCAATCCAAAAAATATTGAATTATGTTAATTAAAATTTCTGTACAGAAAAAACTTTATAGCTCACCTGATTCCAGCACATATGTATGTCAATATATAAAGACAATGACACATCTTACACACTCTTTCAGCAATTAACTTTAATTAAAGTTAATTAACTTTAATTAAAGTTAATTGCTGGAAGAATGTATAAGGTGTGTTCATTGTCTTTATATACTGTGATAGTTCCAGCTTTGACTATTATTGATATGTATGTCAAATGAGCACCTTTAAAAATTTCAGAAATGTGAAAAAATAAATTTTGAGCCTCTGAACAAAACAAAGCACAGATTACATGATATTTCTTATACCATCATTTTTTCTTTAAAACTGTCTTAATTTTCACAGTAAATTGGTAGGTGGCATGAATGTATATTAATTTAATAGATAAGGTGGTATTCTGCATTTTTCAACTTCTTTTTAATCTTGATCTGTTAATTTGTAATTTGCTGTTTTATTGAAAATAATTTATTAATTAACTACAATTTATTTATATCCAAAAAATTTTTAAAGTGGAATAAATTTTGTACATTTTTCAATATTAGGTTAAATACAAAATATTGAAGTTTAGATAAGTTTTCAGAATAAACTTTATTTAAACTAAACCATTATAGCAACTTGTTTTTAATAGACTTTTACACATTTGAAGAACATCTTACAATTTACAAAGGAACTTTGTTAGATAAACATTGTTTTTGTTTTCTTTGAATGTGGCAAAAGGATGCAAATCGATCTTTTTGAATGAAGAGAGAGAGCCATTTGAAATCTAATAGGTTGATTTGGTTGTTTGTTAAAGGATACTTAATTTATCCAGATAAACTTTGAAAGTAGGAATCATAGTCACCAATGTTTGCCATCTTGCAAAATGGTGACATTTGTGGTTAGGCCTGTTGTTATAGTTGGCTGTGTTTATACTGTGTCTGTTGTACATAATATGTGCATGAATTGCTTTATTTTAGATAATTATAACTAACAAAGAAATTAGAGAAATAGTTATTTGTATTAACATCATGTACCATTTTAAAGATTTGAAGATGTTTAAATTTTTAAAAGTTTTCGTATTTAGTCATTCGTACTTGTTTGTTCTTCAAAGATACCTAAGAAATATTTGGAAAATTTATGTTTTGAATTATCATCATTTAATTAATGTACATAACTTCTTTCACTATTTATTTGCTGTTGCTAACAAATAGTCTCTGTCACTTTAACAAACACATAATACATGTAATTATAAGTTTTATATTTTTGTATATATTATGTTTTTATAATAGCTAATTCATCAACCTCTACAGCCATCATTATCTCATGAAAGTTCTTCTGTTTTATCTGCATCGGAATATTTTGATGCTGAAGAAAATCTTTCTAGTAGTACAACTTCGTCAGAGGTACAATCATTTTTATGTTACTTTTGTATTTTTTCAATATTGTCTGTAATTCTATAAATAATTTTAAGTACTCAGTTTATTAATTTTATATTTATTTATATATTTTAATAGGCTTCATTATCAGATGATGCAGGAAGTTTTCTCAGTGATGTTTCAGAAGAAGGTACTGAGTATACTCCAATTCCTAGTAGTAAGTCAGTTTTTCTAATTTTTATTTTTTGCTTAATTATATTGATTGAATTTGTAATATGTAAATATCAATACTAAACCAAATGGTTGCCGTAATTAATCAGGTTATTTTTACTACTATTAATAATTATAAATTAAGTAATTTGGTATTAACCCATTGCGTACGAAGACATTTTTGATATTAANCCCCCCCCTTTTCGTCGGTGCGGACTTACTTTTTTCCGCTCGGGAAGCGCAAGTGTTTGCGAGTTTTTCTACGGCGCTTTTCTTTCGTCGGTGAGTTGGTTTTTCTTCTATTTTTAAGTTACTAAGGTGAATGGTGAGGAAACCTTCGTCTTAACTAAACATAAGCCCCAAACAAAATATAATGAAAGCAAAATAAAAGTAAAATAAAAATAAAGCTCAGACTTGGTTCCTTACAGTGCATTCTCCTTTATTGATGTGGTGGCCATCAGAAATTTCTTGTTCTTCGTGTTCCCGTTTTTTTCTTTCAAAATACTCCAGGGGCTTGTCTTTTAATCCAGGGTGCATGGCATTCAAGTGGCAAAGCAGTTTTGAACGTTTCATTGCCTCGTTAGAGAGCTGGTCGCCGCAAACTATGCAGAGCGGGATTGGTGTGTGAGAATCACCTGTTCCGATAAATCCATATTTCAAGTAGGACTTATGGTATTGTCTGTTAAAAGTTTTATGTTTCTTTGATGTTGAAGGCTTTTTTTGTCTCTTCACTGGGCCATTTCTTTTTCCCAAGGAAACTTTTTAACGATGTCTGTTTTGTACTCATTTTTGCTAATTTATGGGTTAAATTTGAGCAAACACAATATACACGTATATCGGTGAAGTCAGACCAACTTAGACCAACCTAACAGATCTTAGGTGAACTGAACTTTCCCGCCTAAACCCAATTTTTTATATGGATTGAAGGAAACACTAATTGACCAATCAGCGTTTTGTAGTGCTATCGGATGTCTGCCGATCATACGATGTTTGCTGGCCAATCAGCGCTCCTGTTTTCGAAACTAACACTCATTTCTTGATCCGAGCTTCTATGGCGTCAACCATTGCTCATTTGAAAAGAAAAATGGCGGGAAATGTACATCCAGATGATTTCATCACGACACTCTCCACCAAAGCTACAACGCCACTGCTGCTTGCAGCCGCTCAGCTCCAGACGTCACCTAAAATCACAATATTTTGTGCATGCACGGTATTGGTGCTGTTTTAGGTGACGACTCAGCTCCCAGTTAACCACATGTCCATTAAAAGTCGCACAAACCCAAGAGAAATGCACCACAGTAAATAAAATGGAAATAATTTAATGTTCCTTGGGCAGCCCAGTACCATTTGATTTACGGACCGGTACCGGTCTGTGGCCCAGGGGTTGGGGACCACTGTTTTAGACTATTAAAAAATAACTTTTTTAGACCAAAATTTCTATTGATTAATCAGGAATTGCAAACAGTTTCCTATTTCATGTTTTATTGCTTGTTACCTATTGATTTGTTCCAAAATAAACAATTGTGAGTTCTGACTATTTTGATTGAAAATAAAACACATTTTTTATTTATATATATATATAAAATCACAAAAAAATATATATTTTTTGTGATTTAACTTGGTTTGTTTTTTTATTCAAATTTTAAACCAAGGGAATTGACAAAATGTTAATTTTAAATAATAATAAAATTTTAAATATACAAAAAAAATACAATGAAAAGAATTATTGAACTGGAAAGTTACAAATTATAATTTTTTAGTTCTTGTTAAGAAAAAGATTTAAGCAGTTGAACTATATGTAAAAATAGCTATTTATATATAATCATAACCAATTGATATTTCTTGTTTTTCAAAGATGGATTTTAATATAAAAATATTAGGAATATATAACTTTTAGCTTAATTATTTTGAATTATTTTAAATAAATCGTAAAAATTATTATTATATGAATATATTAAAACTTATAACAAATAACATCCAAGGTGATGACTTTCCTGGAAAATTAGAATGCTCAGAGTGTTTCGTTTTTCAGTTTTAAAATGTATCTGAAGAAGCCAAAAAGTTTTGTAAGCATTTATATTAAAAAATTTGAATTCTTAAAGTTTTAATTTTTTATTTTTATCTGTTTTTTAAATAAGAATCTCATTTCTTAATTATCTTATATTCAAATGAGAGTCCAAATAGTTTTATCATCTAACAGATTAAAAATAATTCTTGTTATCTTACAGTTTTAATCATGAATATTGTTAGATATTTAATTTGTTATTAACTGATATTTTATATGAAATGTATTATTTCAACATAATATAAATTACTTATGAAAAGTCAGAAAAAGAAAGATTTGTAGTTATTTGTGACTTTTTACTACCCATCACCAACACTATCACTAGTGGTATTACTATGATAATCTATATTCTTAAACTATCTACAATAAATTTTTTTAAGAAAGTTTGAATTATTTATAATAATTATAAAATATGTGAAAGATAATTTCTTCGTAAATTCATCTTCTTAATCATCAGTGATACACAATCCTCACCTACAGAGACAATCTTTTATTGAAGACTATGCCTCTGTAGGTGAGGATTGTGACACACAGTCACTAGTGATTAGAAGATGGTATTTTGTATCTTCCGTGTATTTTATATTTTCAAGTGTAAATACCATCAGCCAATTTCAATCAATATAATAATAATCTTTTTAATTCTTTTATATTTAATCTGTATTCATTCTTTATTTTAAAAAATTTACTGTTAAGATAGTGTTCTGCAAGTAAGAGGCTCTTTTAAGCAACAGAACAAACAATAACCAAATTATTCCTATGTTTGAAAGTTGATCCCTTCTACATCAAAACGCTAAAGTATTTATTGTTTATTTAAGCAATTGTTTTCCTAGGGTTTTGTTTTGGATCCAGAAAATGATATCACAGAACTGTTTTTGCTAGAGAATTTTCTTTGTTTGACATTACCATCTGTTGCCAATTATGTTTCTATCTGTTGTCTCATGGAAAATGTTTAATAATTTTCACATTACTATTTAATTGCATTTGCTAATCATTTAGCCTCTTACAAAGAGGCAGAATAACTCTCTTTCCAGCTAATATCATAAATGATCATGTACTGTACATGCTTAGATGTTGCTTTACTTAATGTAAAACATCTAACAAGTAAGTTGTGTTATCTGGATATATCATCTTATTTACAGTGTTCATAGAGTCTGTTAGATCTACACTTTGTCAACTGATTTGTTATGCTAGGAAGCAATATTTCTAGATTTATCCAACTGAACAATTCTCTCAGCATTTCATTTTTTTCCCTTTCTAGTTAGCAATCAAAAGATGTTATTTTAATTGTTGTTTTTTTTCTTTTTGTAGTTTAAAATTATATTTGTTCATCAGCAAGAATAGTTTGACTTTATATGAAAATGTAAAAAAAAGGTCCATTTTCTCAGAAATTTTAGAAGCTAGATACATAACATTTTACACAAGTATGAGAGGCAATGTGTCAGTTAGTGACACTATGGCAATATATTTATTGCACAAAGGAAACCAGGTTATACTAAAACGTTAGATATTTTAAGAAGTTTAATTCTTTGACAGTTTACTAATGTCAAAATAGTCGTGTTTATAGAAAAGTGAGAAGAAAATACTTATTGGGCCTTTTTGTAATTTAAAACATATTGGCTAAATTAGTCAATGTGTTTGAACACTGTTGCAGCTTTAGGATGTAAATCATTTGTAGTCCATTTATCAACAAATAAAGTTTAGTTCTTATGTTAAAACTTGTTTTGTTTAGAAAAATTTTTTAAATTTATTTTAAATGCACATTTTAGCACATTATTCTAAATCACAAATGTTTTTGAGCTTAAAGCTCAGAATGAGCAGCATCATCTCTCTGAATATCACTATCGGCCAACCATTCTTGGTAGACTTGTTCAGGATCTATCATCCAGTGTTTGTGAAAACTTATTGGCGGATGATGATGATATTCTGGTGCATAATCCATTGGCCTAGCCTAAAGGTAAGAAGTATAAAAATTTAAATTTTAAAGATTATACAATTTATGAAAAAGATTATACAAAGTTATGATTTTATCAATATAATATACCTGATGAAATAATTTTGAGTGTGTTATTGGAATCCCAAACTTTTTCAAACAAATTCCTAAAATCATATCATCCGGAGAATCCTTGGAAGGACATTGACAAGTTCCAAGTTGTTTAACAGTTTCAACACTGAATACCATCCTGAAATTCAAAGATTTATCTTCAAGTAAATTCTAATTTAAAATAGATTTAGTATTAATTTATAAAATATTTATCTATATATTATATTTTTAACAAATAAGAACAATTAAAAAATGTACTCATATATTAGTCTATTTCTATTGAAATACATAATCCTTCATATTTAAAACATTGATTTATTGATAGACATTTTATATTTAGTAAATGATATTTTTTCAAATGTTTTGCTATTGTTTAGTTCACAAATAAGTAATCTCTTTACATATGTTTATTTTTACTATACAAAATATAAATCAAATCATGCAAGCATGTATATAAATTTTTAATTTTGTTACATGTATTTTTTTTTATCTGGAAATTACACAAGTCTGTCCAGGCATAGAATCTGTGATCTTTGAACATAATTGAATATAATCCCTTTAATAATTGTGATTAAAATTGCTTTTTTCTTCGTGTTTAACTATCAGATTGTTGATTTTTCAAAAAAGAAATTGCTTCCCAAATCCAATAAGTACTAATTTCTTTTGAAGAGAGTTTGTTGTATATCATACATAATATACAGTCGGTGACTGTGTAATTACCATGCATTGTCATACTTAATGTCTACAATGTTCATCACAAAAAGAATAAATTATTTTATTATATAGAAAGAACAAGAATAAAGCATTTTTGATATTTGAGTAATTTAAGTCCTTGAATATCTTTCTCTACTTGATATATTCTTTCATTGTGTGAAATTTCAATGTTCTGAAGTTTCATATTCTTGCTTACCGCAATACAGTGAAATTTCATTAACTTGGCATCCTGGTAAACCCAATAAGCTGGCATGTCCAGTTTGTCTTTAGGAGGGAGTTATTGATGCACTGGGTATTTGTATTTACATGCAGCTAGATAATTTTAAATTGAAAATAAAATCAAAATTAATTAGTCAGTTTATTAAAAGTAATTAAGTCAGTTGAAACAATATTTTGGAAAGTGTGGATAAAGTACTTGTTGTCCATCTTGATTGATTTAGTTATATCAATATTTCATCCAGGGAGTCAGAGCTGAGTTTGTTTCGATTGGCAGTGGCTGAACATTTTGCTTTTATATACCTTATGGATAAAAGTGTACAAAAGAGTTATTATATATATCTATTCTATATATTTTTCTTTTNATACGTCAACACAGACTGCCCACTTTTTCAGTAGCAACAGCAGAAGTCAACTTGCCATTTCTCTCTTGATGCCACAACTGTAGGTTATTTGCTCTGCACAATTGATAGTCCTGCTTCATTGTATTAAAAATTTGGTCATGTATGAAATTGTACTAATCATATCTATCACGTATTAAATTGGAAAACTGGACATTCTCTTTGGTGAATTCTTTCACTCTGGCGAATTTTTTCACTCTGGCATCATCTTCTTAATGTGCCATCTCCTGTCAAAGGTTGGCAATCCATATAGCTAACATTGTCCTCGATATAGCAGCTCGGAATATCTCCATAGATACCTTGTGGCCCGAACCACCTTGTGATGTCTTTCAACTGTTGATTCTTTGGACTTCCAATAGATCTTTTTCCTTATATTTTGCCTTTTAATATTAGTCTAAGTATTTGATATTTCACTCCTCTCATTATATGACTTTTTCTGTGTTTTCATGATTTTGATGGTCAGCAGGAGTTCTTTTTGCTTGTTCATGCAGTTCAGGACTTTAACATTAGTAATCCTTTGCACCCATGATATTCGAAGTATTCGTCTGTACAAATACATTTCAAAAGCTTCAATTCTTCTCTCAGTTTGGGAGTCCAGATTCCAACTTTTGCATCCATTATAGCAGGATGGAGAAGATTTAACGTTCGAATCCTCAGACATAAACTCAATTCGGATCTAACGAAAAACATTTTCATATTCATAAACGATGTTCTGGCTTGTTCAATCCTTGCTCTTATTTCTTTACGCTGATCACATTGTTCATTTATTATTGTGCCGAGGTATTTGAGAGATGATACTTGCTCGATAGTGTTCCCATGAATGAGAAGATTTGCACTTTTTCTTGTTTTTGAGAACACAAGAAGTTTGGTTTTGGTAAAATTCATGAAGAGACCATGCAGTTCACTGTACTCGACAATACAGTCCATCAGTTGTTGTAATTCTTCGGGACTACTTGCTATAACCACTGCATATCTAATGTTGTTTATCTTTTTCTGCACTCTGGCATCAGACATTATTTGGGCAATGGAAGGGCAGTTTGTTTGTTTTTTCATAAACACTTAATCATTCTTTTTCTGCACTCTGGTTAGTGAGAGAAAATGTACATCAAAGAACATTTCAGACAGTTATCTGAAATGCAAGGACCACAAATCTCTTGTCATATTAAAATATTTTTGTTTCATTTCTAAAGCATACTCTACTAACTGTTTTTCCAGTTTCTTGGACTGGGCTGAGTTCTGATTTACAGGAAGCCTTGCAACTTCATCAATGCTTATTTCAATACTTTACCAGACAGAAAGTGTCAACCATGGAATGGAAAATATCTTAGCAGATATCATAAAAACCATTTTCCCCTTTTTTATAGCTTGAATTACTTGCATATTATTGTCAGGCAACCACTGATTTTGCTTTACTTCTTTTTTTTTGGTATCTTGACTACAATCTTAAGAAGACAAACATAATTTTCCTGTTATACAAATATACTTACAAAACTACATATAAATTAGACATATTATAGCCCAATAAGAATCTGGCTGAATTATTTGAGTATTACAAAATAACTGATTCAATGAACTCAATATAACAAAACAAAGCTACACACATTTATAAGTTGAATAATGTGGAATACTATTCCACTTTAACTACCGTTTAGTATTCCTCATTACCCTCATTTTGACATTTTATTTCCTGCCATTTTCTTGAAGACATGACCATAACAGAGCAATCCAAAAAATATTGAATTATGTTAATTAAAATTTCTGTACAGAAAAAACTTTATAGCTCACCTGATTCCAGCACATATGTATGTCAATATATAAAGACAATGACACATCTTACACACTCTTTCAGCAATTAACTTTAATTAAAGTTAATTAACTTTAATTAAAGTTAATTGCTGGAAGAATGTATAAGGTGTGTTCATTGTCTTTATATACTGTGATAGTTCCAGCTTTGACTATTATTGATATGTATGTCAAATGAGCACCTTTAAAAATTTCAGAAATGTGAAAAAATAAATTTTGAGCCTCTGAACAAAACAAAGCACAGATTACATGATATTTCTTATACCATCATTTTTTCTTTAAAACTGTCTTAATTTTCACAGTAAATTGGTAGGTGGCATGAATGTATATTAATTTAATAGATAAGGTGGTATTCTGCATTTTTCAACTTCTTTTTAATCTTGATCTGTTAATTTGTAATTTGCTGTTTTATTGAAAATAATTTATTAATTAACTACAATTTATTTATATCCAAAAAATTTTTAAAGTGGAATAAATTTTGTACATTTTTCAATATTAGGTTAAATACAAAATATTGAAGTTTAGATAAGTTTTCAGAATAAACTTTATTTAAACTAAACCATTATAGCAACTTGTTTTTAATAGACTTTTACACATTTGAAGAACATCTTACAATTTACAAAGGAACTTTGTTAGATAAACATTGTTTTTGTTTTCTTTGAATGTGGCAAATGGATGCAAATCGATCTTTTTGAATGAAGAGAGAGAGCCATTTGAAATCTAATAGGTTGATTTGGTTGTTTGTTAAAGGATACTTAATTTATCCAGATAAACTTTGAAAGTAGGAATCATAGTCACCAATGTTTGCCATCTTGCAAAATGGTGACATTTGTGGTTAGGCCTGTTGTTATAGTTGGCTGTGTTTATACTGTGTCTGTTGTACATAATATGTGCATGAATTGCTTTATTTTAGATAATTATAACTAACAAAGAAATTAGAGAAATAGTTATTTGTATTAACATCATGTACCATTTTAAAGATTTGAAGATGTTTAAATTTTTAAAAGTTTTCGTATTTAGTCATTCGTACTTGTTTGTTCTTCAAAGATACCTAAGAAATATTTGGAAAATTTATGTTTTGAATTATCATCATTTAATTAATGTACATAACTTCTTTCACTATTTATTTGCTGTTGCTAACAAATAGTCTCTGTCACTTTAACAAACACATAATACATGTAATTATAAGTTTTATATTTTTGTATATATTATGTTTTTATAATAGCTAATTCATCAACCTCTACAGCCATCATTATCTCATGAAAGTTCTTCTGTTTTATCTGCATCGGAATATTTTGATGCTGAAGAAAATCTTTCTAGTAGTACAACTTCGTCAGAGGTACAATCATTTTTATGTTACTTTTGTATTTTTTCAATATTGTCTGTAATTCTATAAATAATTTTAAGTACTCAGTTTATTAATTTTATATTTATTTATATATTTTAATAGGCTTCATTATCAGATGATGCAGGAAGTTTTCTCAGTGATGTTTCAGAAGAAGGTACTGAGTATACTCCAATTCCTAGTAGTAAGTCAGTTTTTCTAATTTTTATTTTTTGCTTAATTATATTGATTGAATTTGTAATATGTAAATATCAATACTAAACCAAATGGTTGCCGTAATTAATCAGGTTATTTTTACTACTATTAATAATTATAAATTAAGTAATTTGGTATTAACCCATTGCGTACGAAGACATTTTTGATATTAATGTAATTAAACATAAAAAATACTTAAAAATACTTAAAACTGAAAAAAAAATGAAAGAAATGCGTTAATTTTGAAGAAAAAGCTTCAAATTTTATTTTCCTTTGTCTTGTCTTTCTGTGAAATTTGACACTGATGAGTCATTGTTTACACAGCTGGAGTTGGATTTCCCGGGACATTCTCATAGAAGTCTCGGAAGGCGATGGGTTTATAGTAGGGTGAATACTAGCTGGCTGTATATTTTTAAATATTTTTAAAAAATTAAAATTTTTATTGCGATTTCCGACCCTCCTGACTTAATTAAACTTATATATAATAAAATATATTAATTAAAAAAATTAAAAACTATTGGAGGTCATTTTTGACATCAGAAACTAGTTTTAAATAACTTTACTGAAGGAAAATCCGTGCACTACAACTTTAAAACGATGAATGAAATTTGATATCAAACTCCCATTAAAAAACTATTAAAAAGCAATTAAGCGTGAAGCGTGCATCATTAAAGGTAAATTAAAATCGCGATAAAATTTTTCGCGTGGGAAAAAAATTTTGAAAAATTTGAAGACTTAAAAAACATTCCAAAAATTCAAAAAAAAAATTTCAAAAATGCCTTAAGGACTGCATTTTATGTAACGCTATGTAACTTGCTCGAGATATCTTGGGTTATGGGCTTAAGGGGTTTTTAATTATTAAAGGTAGACATTAGGCACTGTGCCCCCTATATGGTAGTGACTGACCAGATCCTAGTCAGGGGGCCTGGTATGAAGATGGCCAACTTATATTTTTTGCTTCGCGTGAATTTTTTTGTGGGATATTGAGTTCAGTTTAATTGGAATATTTAATTCTTGACATAGGTTAATTAATATTCTAGGTTAGGTCCCTTGCCTCACACCACTAAGGTGTTGGGTTTGAGTGGAGGGCTCGCCAATGATCCTCCCACTCGAACCCAACATAAAAATGATTGCTTCAGGATGTGGGGTTCATGGTAGGCACCATCTCTTATCAAAATTAATAATAATAATAATAATTTTGGCTCCTAACATCTAGTAGTACCAAATTACAATTGTTGCTTCGAACACAATGAAGTGTTATAAATTAAGACACTTGGCGGTTTTCTCATCTTTTATTCAGTTGATACGTGTGAAATTATACATGTTTCATGCTCCCAAGCCCCTCATCAGCCAACTAAAATATTAATGGAGTACACAACAAAGTTTGAAGCATAGTTTCAGATTATTAAAAGAAACAAATTACAAATTACTTAATTTATAATTATTAGTAATAGCAAAAAATAGCCCAATTAATTACAGCTATCTTTAGTTTTAGTATTAATACATCAGGTTTTGGGATGTTTATGTATACATAAATATCAAATTAATTTATAATAATAATAATAATAATAATAATTTGTGTTTTGAACTGATTGCTTAAAAAAGGGAGAGGGAAACAGGAAAAAGAATTAATTCATGTTATATTTCATATAGGTTTGGTCACATTATGAACTTCTAAGTGTTACAATAAACAATATATATATATTGTTTATTAAGTGTTACAATAAACAATATATATATATTGTTTATTGTAACACTTAAAAATTATGTTTATATATATGTAGTGATGATGTAAATGTAATGTAAGATAAAAGATCACAATATTCTGGACGTAATTATATGTATTCACAGTTGAAATTATTTTGCAAAGTTTGTAAATCATTCTAAATTTTATCTAAAAAGAAAATCTGCAGATGCAGCAAACTAAATTGCCAGGCCAGCACTGTGTTATCTTATTCTCATTGTTTTTACATTTTTTGCTTGTTTTTTGAGCTCAATACTTGGAAATTCATTTCAATTCTTGAGTGTTTAAGTCTTCAATTCTAAAAGTGTTTCATGTCAAAGTAAATTACACTAGTAACTATTTCAAATATATTATTAAGAAGAAAATTCTGATTAACATAAAACTTGACTTATAAACAAGTTTGCAGAATAGAATTCTTATATAAATCTGAATATATACATGATAGATGCTCCCTGAGTAGTCTTGAATTTAAACTTTTTTGTCTGTGAAGTAACTAATTGGATTTACTTTACTTAATAGATGTGGAACTATATTCAAAATTTTAAATTTTTTTTTGCTTCAATAAATTAGAATATTAATGTGTTATATAATAAATCATTATTTATAATTTTAAACTAGAAATTAAAACTTTTAAAATTTTATTTAAGTTTCAGATTTAGTTTCTTCTCCAACAAGAAATACAGGGAGAAGATCAAAACTTCCTGCTCCTAAACCAGATTTGGGTGATTTTAGTTTATGGAATTTATTATGCAAAAACATTGGAAAAGACCTTTCAAAAGTTAGCATGCCAGTTACACTCAATGAACCAATAAATGTTTTACAAGTAAGTTTCATAAACAAAAAAAAAATTATATTTTAACTGAAATAATCTTAAATAACAAATGTCATTGAGAATTATATTTTTGTTTTCAATTATTTATGTTTTTGTTTCTGTACCTTTTAATAGAACTTTGATTTTAAATATTTAGCATTTTCATTTTTGTCTTTTTTTTTTATGCATGCCTTGTGACTAAATTCTATTCATATTGATTTAATTCTTTACAAAATTTTATTTTCAAATAGTGATTTGTTGTTATTACATGTGATATTTTGAGCCAGCACACCAATTTTTATGGAATTAGAAATAATGGTTAAAATATATGTTTTTTAGTCTAGATTCAATTTGTTTATAGAAAATGAATTAACTCTTTTGGTTATATCTTCAAAAAATAAAATAATTGTCAAACTCTCACATGCTAGATTCTATGCTTGATCTTCTATGTTACTCACAGATTAGTTCTAAATAATCTGAGTGACAGTCAGAAGAAAGCTAAAACAATATCATATTTCAATATAAATAAAACTGTCTTTCAAAAGATGAAAGCATTATTTGTTTATATCTTGGGCTTAATTATTGTAGAACATTTTAGTTTCTTTGATTTCACAGAAGAAAGAAGAATCTCTCCAATTTTTGTATAAATTAACAATTTTTAGAAATTTTTAATTATTTTTTTGTAAAGCTGAACAAATTATATTGGTAAAACAGTTTGGAAATAATACAATATGGATAGTAAAAGTATTTCATAAAAAAAATGAAGTATTAATTAGAAATCATTGGAAAAGAACTCAATAAATCATTTTCAGATAAACAATGCATATTGAATACCTATCTAATATGATGAATAAGTATCATTTCCTTGAACTACATGACATGTGGAATTGTGTGTGTTTTATTCTTTGGATGGGAACAAGTTATCAGAGAGCTTTTTATATCTTTCATTGCAATTCCAGATTTATTCTGTGTCTTATTGATAACTGAAAGTATTTTCATTATAAAACAAAGAAGACAGATAACGTGGGCACCAAATCACCAAAATTCATCCACATCAGCGGAATTCTCACAAATGGTGTGAATGTTATGACTACAATCTGGAAATTAATTGGCTTCACAAGCTGATTTTAAACAAACACAACAGAGGAAATCTTATTCTTTTGACTACTAGATTGAATGTGAATCTTTAGATACAGTACCCTCAAATAGTAGGTTTGTTCTTTCATAGTTGATGCATTATTTAGTTTTTCTCCCTATTCATTATCCTTTTTTGAATGAAATCCAAAATATCTTGCAATTTTTTTCTTTTGTGATATTATTCAAAATTTTTTTTTGTAAAGGTGAAGTGCTCAAACAAACTTACATTTTGCTGCTGATAAGCATTTCATATGGAGATCTTTTGGTACCTAAGTGATGGGCCCTGTTCTTTATTAATTGGATTGGATTTTTATACCTTACTCCAGTAGGTTTCTTATTTTTCTTTATGTTGTGATCATATTCTCAATAACTTTATTTGTTCTTTCAATGCTTTCTTGACTTTGACTAGATTTCCCATGGCAATTTTAAGTTGGAGTCTGAATTTTTCAAACTAGAAATAATTATGTTTCTAAACTCTGTTCTGGTACCTGATTGAGGTGTTCATGATTCTCCAAGAAAAATAAATTTATTAAGAAAATACTAAGATATTTCCCCATCTTTTTTAGATTTAACATCTCCCAACAGCATAAATTTTATTAGGTGATCTTGGTAAACTGAAATAAATATAAATTTATGATCAGGAAGAGTTTGAAAATTTATCAGATCAACTTGATAATGAGAAGTGAATTTAGAGAAATACAATGGTTTTACTACTAGATCTTTCTTGCAACTCTTTAATTTGTGGTTCAGCTTGCTACACAGTTTAAAGAGCTTTGTGATGAGTTCTATTTCATGATGAGTATATTGGTATACCTGATTGACAACTTCATTTTCTTGTCTTACCTATCATTACTAATAGAATCATGACTATCAAAATGTATATTGAATGGCTCATCATTTGGCAAATAGAATTTGACTGCACCTTTTCCTTCTTCTGTTGGATTTATTTGTTTCACTCTCTCCCAAATCATCATTACACTATTTCTTTAATAAGCAATAATGATGAGGTACTCTTCTCCATGATTTTAGTTTTATTTCCTTCTCTTATTAGTTCTTCATAACTTTCATTTGTGAGAAAAACAAATTCATGTTTTATTTTTTGCAGAAACATGCATTTTTCTAAAACTCGCTCAAACATTTGTCTTGTGGTATTTGTATTTTTGCAACTATTTTGCAAACCTTGAAAGTAAATGCTCTACACATATTATATATATATAACCAGGAAGAAAAAGGAAAGATTATTGTGTACCAGTGGTTTAAGTTGGTGGTTGTGCAGTCCATTTCATAGTTAATTTGATAGTCTATACACTATTTAAGCAAAGACTATTAAGGATATACAGATTTTTTTTTTATTTTGCCTACTAACTTTAGGCATTTTATAGAATGTTTGAATTTTAGTTTTCCAGTAAATATGTATAAATAAAATCATTTAATACATAATTTATTTTTTTTAAACTAGAGATTGTGTGAAGAGTTGGAATATAGCGAGTTATTAGATAAAGCATCAGAAACAATTGATCCTTTTGAACGAATGGTAAGTTCTTTAAATAAACAAAATTTTATTATATTTCTAGTATATAGTTTAAATTAATAGACTATATTTGTTTCATTATAATTGAGTTATTTTATGATTTTTAAGATATACATTATTTCAATATTAAACTTTCTTTTCTTGGTCAACAAATTTTCTCTGAATCGAAATAAATTTATTGTCCTCAATAAGACAGAATGCTAATAATTTTTTAAATTTTTTTATGTAAATTTATTGAATTTTCATTTACATATATAATAATTTTCTTATTTTTTATCTGATTCTTGTAGTTTGATTTAAAATAGATTTAAAAATACGTAGACATTGCTGGTATTTCACCAAGTAAAGCTAGTAAAGTTTTAAGTATTTTTTTCTGTCTTTTCTAAATTAAGTTTAAGTTAAAACTACAGATTTGAATTGATTTATGTCAAAAAGAAATTCCTTTTTCTGTCATAAATTCAATGTAAATACAAATATTTAATCAAGATGCTGAATGAAACATCTATTGATATTTACTTTTTAATTTTAAATTTTGATATACAAAATGAAATGAAAGTATAACATAAATGAATGGACTTATGGTAATAAATATGATGTTTTACATGATTGAAGAGTAACTATTGGAGAGTTATATCTTTCAAGTTTGAATAAACAGAGAGAATAATATATTATACTGTATTTTAAAAATATGAATTGGAAATATTGATTATACAGTCTTATTAACAGCTACAAACACAATTTTTATAATTCTTTGTCAATGATAGCAGGTTTATATTTATAACTAAAAACACAAAAATGCATACAAAGAATTCTAGCTATCACCAAAGGCTTAATCTGTTGCAAGAATGAAACAGTAAACTAAATATTTAAAACTAACTATGAATAATAATCTTAATGTTAATATACAAAAGGATTTTATTAAGTCAAGTTACATAAGTCAAGGATAGAAGAATGGTTGAGAGAGAACAAAGGTGTACCCAATCCTTTGGTTGATCAAGTCCATTGAAAAATTAGGTCACCTGGGTTACAGAATGATTTCTTTAATCTGACTGAAATGGGGATGTCATCAACTCACAAAATAACCTCCAAAATGCAAAATGTGTTACTCTGTGTTTAATCTTCTCAGCTTCTCTGATTGTGAAAATCTCAGATCTTACCAACACATCTTGTAAAACCACCATCTTCTTTCTATTCCCATTTAAAGGTTCATCAAAAAGTTCTTTTGAGGCTCCTTCACTCCTATATATACTGTTCATAAAATCCATCATACTGGTTCTTATCAATGAAAGGATAGCATTTCCTGGGACAACATTGGTGTAAACCCCCCTTCAGTAAAGAAAAAAGACAGTTATAAAATGGTAGAAAGTGTGAAGTTAGGAAAGAATTACAATTGCCGACAAGGGTGAATACACTAAACAAGGAACCATGCACAGCAGATTGTGGGAAATATTATTTATTTACGCATACAGGAAGCAGGTTCTGATGGATTCCAACTCTAACAGGTGGTTACCAAAATAATCCAAAATGTCTACAGGATAATTACACAATATCAGAGAGATTACAAAGAATCTGAGCTTGCGTTATACAATAAGGCTTTTTCTTATAACTAACTCTTAAAAAACTAATTTAATCTAAGGAGAAAAAGAGATCAGAGCATTGAGACAAGAAATAGAAAGATAGCTGATAGAAAAAAAGGACTAGAATCCCCAGCTCCCATGAGGGATCACGTGGAACTTCCATGGACTAACTTTGTGCTTTTGTCTTCCTTTTTCCTGTATATCTGAGAATCACTGTGCCATCACTTCAATATGTTCAAAACTTTCCTTTTACATCAGTTCAATTTTACTTGTCTCTCGGGTCTTGAAAACACAGCACTCTCTTCTTCATTCTCACTTCATAAAGATCAGCTAAAAAGTGTCCTATACTCCCCATACATGCCTTCAGGTAACATCGTTTTCATTGTTCTTGTGATTCCACAAAGTGGCCCTCACCATCCAGGATAATAGATTAAGATTAGAATGTTCTAAAAGTAAGAAAGAACAAAGGAAAAATACTAAAAACTATGAATTAAACTAAAATTAACAATGGCGTACAGTCACAAAGGAAATGTAGAACAAAAAATACAGGGAAAGAGAAAGAAAAACAACAGACTATGGCATACTGCCACATATTTATTTTAGTTAACTAATAATTAAGAATATGGGGTATTAATGTTTTAACAATTTTATTAGTAATTGATTTTGGCTTGATTGTTTATATATCTCCATTATAACTTGTTAAAAATACATATATTACTTAAAGATAAAACATTAAATATTTATCATCATTATTTTCTTAATTGTTATGTTATTCAAAAAAGTATATAAAATTAATTTAAAGTTAAAAAATCAGAGGTTTTGACTTAGAAAATGTCAGTTTAATATTTTTATTATATAATGTTAAAAAAGTTTAATATATTGTTTTTTAGTTCAGTATATTTAATATTTGAAATTATTGTTTGTTATAAAATTTCTTACCAATTTAGGTGTACATTGCTGCCTTTGCAGTATCAGCATACAGTGCTTCCTATTACAGAGCTGGTCACAAACCATTTAATCCATTACTTGGTGAAACATATGAGTGTATTAGAGAAGATAAAGGTTTTCGTTTTGTTGCTGAGCAGGTACATGAAAAATATGTATATATATTACAAGATTTTGGATATGGAGATATAGTTCAAATATTTTTTATATAATAATGAATACAAATTAAAATATATTTATGATAAAATTAATAGTATTTGGAAATAATTCTAAACAACAAATAATAATATATGAATATAATTATGTATTATATTTATATTTATAATTATTGACATATTAAGACATTACTGTAATATCAAATAAACAATTTAAAATACAGTCGACCCCCCCCCCATAACACTTGGAATTCATATAAAACAGAATTATCAAGTGTTATAGGGGGGTCGACTGTATAATAGTTTGCATGTTGTAAACTATTACGTATAAATAATGCTTATACAAATGATAACAAATTGTCTAATGAGTAAATCGATTTGTAGAATGCATGTATTATTGGTAGATTTATATACACTATTCAATATTTGAAATATTTTATGTTGTACAACTTTAAATTACTAATTTAGTATAAGATTTAATGATCAGTCTGTCAATCATGTTTTTCAAATTGAAATCCCTCTGAAAAAATACTCTTAAAAGTAAAATTAATAATGAATTTATTTGATTTATTAAATTTGTATTATTTTTGTTTAAAACTATGTAGGACTACTAGTTTCTTCTTTAATTAATATTGAAATAATTAAAAATATGGTTAAAAATATCTAAAATTAAGTTCTAATATATAAGTTGTATGAAATAATAATTTCAATTTTTTTTAATGAAATTTAAAAGATACTATGAACTTAAGTTTTATCACCTAGTTAATCCATTCAATAAAGATTTAATCAGGAAATAAGAATTATATTATTAATGAAGGTGATAATATTTATTTGTAACAATTTGTAAAAAAAGAATTTTAATAAACAATATAATTAAATTTTATTTAAATGAATTTGATATGAGATAATGGCTACAAAAAGAAATATTCTAGTAATACTTGTACAATAATGTATCTAATTTATATTGATAATTTTGACTTTTTCAAAGTGATATAAATAGCTTGTATTAAAGTATTTTACAGTTAATTGTCATGTGAAATTTTTAAATTAGTTTAACAATACATTTGTAAATTTTCGGAACTTTTTTATACTGAAGAAATAGTTATAATTGATATAATTTTTATATTATTTCTAAAGTATATTTATTTAAATTATTATTCTTAAAAAAAGGTTAGCCATCATCCTCCCATCTCTGCATGTTATGCAGAATCTAGGAATTACATCTTCTGGCAAGGTAAAATGCATTTTTAATATATAATTTTGTATTTAAAAGTGATAGTTTTTATAACTTTTTATAACAATGAGAGCAGTTTAGTAATACAGTGGAACCTTGCTTAACAAGCATAATTCACTCCAGAATGTTAATCGTAAAGTGAAACAATTCTTCCCATATAAATTAATGTAAAGTACAATAATATAATAATATTTTATTTCCAAGGGAAATTTTTTCCTATTATGGGGGAATACAAATTTCACAATAAATACTATATCGGTCTACACGATTAATATATATATTACAAATAAGTGTATTAATTATAACATAATATGGTCTAGCAAGACCACTTAAATAACAATAACATTATTTGGTAAATTCAGACAATACTAACATAAAGTAACTTAATGATACATTATCAATGATTTAGAACAACAATGTAAATCAAATGAATACAAATTTCACAATAAATACTATATCGGTCTACACGATTAATATATATATTACAAATAAGTGTATTAATTATAACATAATATGGTCTAGCAAGACCACTTAAATAACAATAACATTATTTGGTAAATTCAGACAATACTAACATAAAGTAACTTAATGATACATTATCAATGATTTAGAACAACAATGTAAATCAAATAATTAAATATTACAAAGTAATTTTTTCAGTGTATTTGACAAAAGATTATAAATTCTATAAGCATTATTTTCTGTTGATATTTTTAAGTTATTTTTGAAGTCTAGAGATGAACTTCCATTACATATATTTTGATTAATTTTTGTCCAAGTCTGTTTAAATGCTCATCCCTTGAGAGGTGGTTGATTTGTATTAAAAAATTATTACCTTTATGTTTAGAGTCCATATTATCTGCAATTCTTGCATTGAAATCGCCCAAAATTATGGAATAAGGAGTCATATTTTGCATGATCTCCATTTGTTTAGTTATTTCATTCAAAGTAATTATGTCATCAGTGAAATATAGGTAAGCATTAAAATTATTAAATTATTTGTAATATTAGCAAGAGCAGATTTAATGATTTGAACAAGGAGAAGAATGAAATTATTAGATTTTTTTATTTCTTTTTTTGTAAAATTTGCAAAGACCTTTCTTTATTAATATATAAAGGCCTCCACTTGGGAGGCCTGGATCTATTGGTTTTTTTTGCCTTTATTTCTTTTTTTGTAAAATTTGCAAAGACCTTTCTTTATTAATATACAAAGGCCTCCACTTGGGAGGCCTGGACCTATTTGTTTTTTTGCCAAAGCTGACTCTATTGTAAATTTTTCAAAGAAGGTAGAATTGTAGACTATTTCAGAACATATCCAGGTTTCAATGATGGCAATAATATCCGGATCATATTAAGATATAAAGGCATCTATTTATAGTATTTTATATTTAAGTCCTTGACTATTCCAGTTTATAATTGAGAGGCATTGATTATTAGGGTAGAGTTTGCAGGATTGAGTTTTATCTTGCTTAGTAATATGTCATTCAGTTAAATTTGCCTTTCTTGATGATGGAAGAAAAGTATCTATATGCACCAGTTTTCCCGTGTTTAAATTATAAGTTAGCTTTTCACGATCAATTACTAAGATGTCATTTCACAATTTTACCTGAGGGTTTTGTTTACGTAATTCATAAAAATTTGGCAGTAAATGTTTCCTTCTATTTCTTGTTGTTAGTTAAATCTGGAGAAATCTGTATGTTTTGCCATTCCTCTAGTAGACTTTGTTGTTTTTTTTTTTTTTTTGCATGAAGGTAGAAAAAATAAGATCTCTAGTTTGATTATTATTGTTATTCTTGTTGTTAAATTTGGCGTTTTCGATAATTGGACTATCTCTAGTATATTGTCTTGAGTTATATTATTTATATTTAATACATTAGTAATAAATTTTAGTATTTCTGCTCTTGAAGTGGTTTTGTAGTTTGGGTAATTGTTCATTATTATGTTGCTATAGCAATGTTCATTATTTAACATGTCCATTTTAAATTGGATGAAATCTTTATCCATTTGTAATTTCTCTACTTGATGTTTCAAACCATCAATCTCCTCTTTCATTTTTTCTGATTTTCCTTCATTTCTCGAATATTTTCATGGATAATATCTAGTTGTTGTTTAATCACAACCATTTGATTAAAAAGTTTGTCATTAGTGGTGTTGATTAAATTTGATATTTTATTCCAAAGCACTGAAGTATAAGTGTCTGGGAATTTATCCGTTACATTAATTGAGGTCTCATCAGAAATAGTTGACTCACCTGAGTTGTCGTTTTCATAAATCTGTGATGAATTTAAATTGTAATTCTTATCACTAATGGATTCTACATGGAGATTTTTTTTGGAAGTGAAGTTAAAGTCTATTAACGACCTGGGATTTGAAGAAGATGGCTGATTCTTCCTAGTATCCAATTTAGTACAATTCAATGGAGGTCTACCCCTCTTAACTGGAGAACGTTGCATAATTTTTCTTGTTATTACCGATATAAATAGTATTAATTGATAATAAAATTAGGTTTCTTGTAGTAACAAATAATCAAAAAAAACACTTAACTTTTATTCTAGTATGAGTGGCCAGGTACAAAGGAAAACACACCAACAGCCTCGATGGATGAACACACCCCCCCTTAAAGTACAATAATGTATTCCATGCAAAAAAAAATACTCATATTTTATGTATAATGTTTATTCAAAGAAAATTATACAATATACATTGTTAAGGACCATGAATCATCATCATCATTTCTTCTAGCACAGAATGAACCAACCTGGAATGTGAATTTGATTTGCAGAAAACCAAAAAAAATCGAAATACAGTCATTTATAATATTTAATTATAGCCTTTATATAGCCCAAGAATTTGGAATATCGTTTAGCATGTTTATTATCTAACAGGTTATGGTTGTTGATGTTTATATGTAATATGTCTGGACACAAGTTTGGAAAAATGTGTGATCATAAGCAACACTAAGATGCTAATGGAACGAGTGCTAAACACAGACTGATGTTGCATGTGCACAATCCGTGACTTCCCCACTTCTTGTTGCTCGTTAAACGAGTAATTTTTTTACAATTTGCTTTGCTCGTTGTGCAAATTACTCCTTATGAGAGATGCTCATTAAGCGACGTTCCACTGTATTGGATGTATAATTTGTAATTTAAAAAAGCTGGGAAGGACTCTTGTGTAATTTTCCTGGCATTCACAATTTAAGTTAATTTTATATGTGACACCACTCTGCTGTGAGATTCTATTACAAAATAATTTTATATTATTATGTATAAAAAGGCAAAAGACAAACTTTTACTCATCATTAGCATTTATTGAAGCAGAGTGTTAGCAAAGCTTCTTCTATGAGGCTTACAGAATTGTGTTCATTCTCAAAATCCATTCAATAGATTTTGATTAAACTTTTCCATTTTATATTAATTCTGATGCAGAATCCAAAAATGCAATAAAATGGAGGTCTATGACTTATTTTGCATTATATCCAGTTCTGAGATATAAAGCAAAATAAATACTGTTATTTTTTTATTTGCATTTTTGGCTCCTGGAATGTCAAAATATCAAGAAATGCAAAAAAGAGTGGTAAAAATTTGACCAATTACTATACTTTCCCTATATTATATTGTGAACGAAGGGTCTGCACCAAGTCAAGATGCCATGTCAGGACTGACACCACTGTATTGTAGAGAACACAGAAATCATGATGGCATTTACGTTTTGTTTCATGCACGAGCAGTCATGTTGTGGGCAGTCAGATTCAAGATAGAGACAGTCCGAGAGACCATTTTATCCAGAGAAAAAATGCATTCAACTATCGCATTTCTAAAAATTTATCTGTTTTATTATATAGACTACTTACACATATATACACATTCAAATTTACAGTATAGCAATAAACCAGCATGTATATCATTCCCAATTAAATCGGATCCCTAACTGAAAGAGAGTTTACAATTGAACACAAAGTTGATAGATACCTTAGTGGTAGTGGATGGTGTCAGTTTTGTAGATTTGGTAGATGGTCCTTTTCTGGGGTGTTTCAAGGATGTCTTCTAAAGTACAGTAAGTTGATATCAAATCCAATAATCTGATCAATATCCAAAATGGTGGAAGAACTGTCCGAGCAGGTCAGGTCTTGACTCTGACAAGATAGCGAACCTGAACCCCAACTATTCGAGATGATCAACGAACACCCACATTGTCATCGATTCTGTTCTTTTATTTGGGGTCTTCCCCTTCACTGCTCTTGCCCTTTTTTTTTGGAAATTTTAAAATCTGTGTCCAATAGCGATTTTTTTTTCGTTAGGTTCCTGGTGACATACGTTCAAAAGATGTGTCATCCCTGGACAAGGAAGCAAGTTTGTGGGAAAAATTATAATCACATCCTTTTTCATTTTTATTCCACTTTTGAAAAAGAGAAAATAATTTTTTTTGAGTTCAGGCTCTCACAATATTATACAATAGCTGGGAAAGTAAAAATTCACTAGAATGTTTTCATAATGATCATCTATTCAATTGTTGGAAATGAAATAGCCAACTTTTACTTCTGACTTTTAATGTTTATTAATTTAATTTAAAACTTATATATTTAATCAAAATTGTCTCCATCAACATTAGTACATTTTTCCCAATGCAATGGAAATGTATTAACACCAATTTGATAGAAATCATGAGAATGAGAAGCCAAAAAGTTGTTAAAGGTACTTTGTATAGCATCCTCTTCTTTGAAGACTTTCTTTGCCAAAAAAAACTGTCCAAATGTATATAAAAAAGTGATAGCCTGTTGGCAAAAAGTCTGTAGAATTTTTGTATCAGAAGACAATAGCTATTCTATTAAATTATAAGTTTCCAATATTTAGTTTTTTCTTTTGTTACACCTCTAAGCTGTTACACTTGTGAGAACCAAGAGGGTATAGTTTCGAGCTTCTCCCCACTTACTGGCGACTCTGTCAGAGAATGGCTATATAGGAGGGCAAAAATGTGAGTGGGGAAGGAAATGGGTAAGTTGACAGGTTACCGATGGCATGCAAAGAGGTTACCAATTTTACTCAAGGATGACACAGCATTAAATATAAAAATAACACATTTAATTAACTAATTACCTAAACCTATACATACGCATACAAAGTGAAATGCTACAAAAAGGGATTATTCAAAATTATTCTATATCACGACAAGGAATATACACTCGTCGATTAACCATCTAAGTTCTAGCTCTATAAAACATATTATTCTACTAAATTCAACTAGCCTGTAGTAATTTATAACTGAGAGAGACAAGAGACACTCTTTCGTTCCTTGTCTCTCTCTCACGAGAGAGAGACAAGGAACGAAAGAGCGAGGATCAAATTTAGATCAAATATCTCTCGTGGTCCCGATCTTGCTGTATGGGCGTTGTTTATGAACTGTCCCCAGATCAGCTGACTCTACTCGTGGTCTCTCTTCTCTTTGTGTCTTACTGTGGACGGTGATGTCCATCATGGGAGTCTGCTCGGCTGTGTCCGCCTTGGCTATGTCGGCTGTCTGCTTGACGGGATCTGCTTCAGTTGTCTGCTGTTGATGTGTCCGCGCTGAGGTTCAAGTGCAACCCCTTTTTATTCCTGTTCTGAGGGGGGAAAAGTTAGACGTACATTCTGATGCAATCCCATGTAAGTTCAACTGGACAGGGAAGGTTTCGATTTCTGACAATTAGTATAAATATTTTGGTAGAATTATTACTTTTGCTATCCCGTCTTGTTACTTTTTCTAACTCATAAATTTGATAACAGTTGTCAAACTGACGGAATAAATGGTTGGAGGTGACTAAGGTTAGGATATGTATTGCAACCTTAGTAATGATTGTTTGTTTGAGGAGTTATTTGATCGGTTTTATCATCTTTAAAATCGGACAAACTAAGAAGTGTGTGGGTTGTGTTTTTTCTCCCGTCTCCGAAAGGGCCAAAAGGTCACTCCTCGAAGTGATGGAAAATTGAAAAAACAACGATGAGAAAAATTTATCGAAGCTCCAAAATTCACGCTAGAGCTAAAATTCTCACACACTATTTTTTTACTTTTTTAGAGCTTTAGTTTTTCTACAAGCTAGAGTATTTTATATAATTTTCAAGACTTCATGCTCACATTTTCAAAATCATTAGACCAAAGGTACTGTACAGTACTCAAACTTTTTAACTGTCAACTTCTTTGGGGATTCTTTACTCTTAAAAGGTCTACTGTTTTCATAGAAAAGATTGCTTACAGTGAACAATATACATCATCCTAAACTATATACCTAATCCATTGGACAAATAATTTTAATAAACCATTTGCAATCAACCCCTGAGAATGCCTTATCTTCCCAGAGGGTCAATATTGACCACTTTAAGGGTACACTACACTAGATAATTAATAAGAAATGTTACTTACAGTAGATGCAAAGATGTTATAAAGAGTATAAAAACTAAGTCTCAAGTTTCTGAAGGGTTTAAAATTAAGTACATAATATTTTAACTTTCTCAAAATTTGATTCATAAAATCATTTTGTACCGGTACATCTTTTTATTCTCATGTCTATCTTACTTGTTAGTATATTACTTTAAAAGAGATAAAATCTTATTGTCTATCATTCAATTTATGAAGTTAAGATTTCAAATTTTTATTTACTTTGATTTGTTCAAATATTAATTATTTTTGTACTTATGTTTTGTTATTGTAATTTAGATTTTTCATGTTTTTATAGATTATCAAATATCATAAATTGTTTACTTTACTGTAATAAAATAAAAATTGCTACTATTTAATTTTTCCATTTCAGTGATTTAATGAATCAGGAAAAATTTTGAACCCGTTCATGTAATATTTGTTTTTAATCAACTCAACAGTAGATTAATACTTGAAATACAAAAATAAAATATATTATGTATAGACATTTATCTTTCATTAAAGTTTTATTTACTAACTTCAAAATCAACACCTTTCACACTTTTTCAGCAGAGGGTTTATTTAGTAAATGAACAAATAAACGTTTTTGCATTATTTTATAAATGTGTTTCAGGTTTAGCTTCAAATTATAAAATTTTGAATTAAGTTATAAAATAAACTGAAAACATTTTGAAGTTATCTGTTCCATCTTTATTATCAGATTTTATTTACTAAATTATTTAAAAATTTTTTTTTTGTTAAATTAGATTAAATTACATTACAATTAAAGTATCAATATAGTGATGTTTATGTCAATACATGTAGAAACTTGTTTTTAATAAAGTGATGAGTGCTTTACATATGATATTTGTATATTTTCTGAAAATATTTTATTATTAATAGATATGAGAGTAAAGACTAAATTTTGGGGAAAATCAATGGAAATCCTTCCTATAGGATCTATCCATGTACGTCTGCCAAGGTAGGTTCTTTTTATCCTGAAATCAATTTTTCAAGAATTTCTTTTATTGATAGTAATTTTTATTCATTTTATTTAAAATGAATGAATATCACTAAATACAGTGGACTCTTACATTATGTTATTTTCATGTAATGTTATTTGTTCATAAGAAAATATTGGATAATGTAACATTGCATGAAAACCATGCATATGTATGCTTCATATGTGTGAAGCATAGATGAATGGTAATGTATGTGAATGACAAAGCATAGATCTTGCACCCACGTTACAATTTAGAATTTTTCTCCTAAATATAGGGTGTTTTAAACTTAGAAGATAAAAATTTATAATTACAGTTTAGGTTTTTTTTTCTCTGATAGTTTGCAATTTAATTAGTCTTAACAATCATATAAAATAATAAATATTATTTAATTTCAGTTAATTATTTTTTATAAAATTTAATAATTAGTACATTTTAATTTGCTCAATGACTTGATAATTGCTCTGTGTTATTGCATGGACATGTAATTTATATATCTATTAAAAATCATCAGGGCTTGAAAAAGTTAGATGATGAAAGTGTTTATTTGAAAATTGTTTTAAAATATATTATATTTATAAAGCCTTGATCCATTGTAATGAAAAAGTTGATAATCACAAAAATGTTTTATTGAACTATCAAGCACAATGTGACAAGTATAAATTAATACATACAAGATAATCTTGTCACTGAATAAAATGTTTATAAAATTTTTTCAGTTTGCAATCTCAATGAGATCTTAATATATTGCTAGACAAACTACTTAATCTTTGGAATCAAGTTTACAAAGTACTTGAAGATAAACTTGTTATTTAAAATAAAATGGAAGATTTTCCACAGTGATATATAGAATATCAAGCTCTCTACTGTGTCACAGAGTTGTCATATACAAGGACACTCTTTCATCTCCTTTTGCTGAACATTTTCTGAAATGTGAGCAGATACAAAGAGATTGATTGAATGTTTTTCATTTTTTACATACTCTATTTGAGAAACATTCAACCAGTATCTGTCAAAATTTATGTACAGATATTTGCCCTTACAAGATCAGGTTTCTGAAATTGACACCTAAGTTAAGTTCTTCCCTAACTTTTACATAGGCTAATCCACTCAAACAAGCACTTATTACAGCTATTTGCTTGTCCAAACTTAGCATCTTCACTAAATTTTTCAATATTTACGAGAAAAACAGAAATTTTTAATACTTTAATTAAAATGAAGTGAGACTTTATAAACTCCTTGTATTTTACATTTCTTTATATAATTGATTACACCAGTATAAATCCTTTTAATATATTAATATTTTATATAGTAAAAGGACTTATACTGGTGTAATCAATTGGACACAAAGAGATAGCAGCAATAAAAATTAAAACAATATTTCTTTATTTTCAGATAAAACTTCTGGCAGGTAAAACAGATGAAAATATTTATTTTATTTAGTACAAGGTTTTTCACCCTTTGTATGGGAAACAAAGTAATAGAAATAGATCAACAAAATTACAAAACAAATGTTCAGATTATTAGATCTACAATACACAATATACAATTTTTAATATACACTATTCAATAAATAACAATTAAATGAACAAAAATCAGTAACCAAACTGAAACAGATGAAAATAAAGAAATACTGTTTTAATTTTGACTACTGCTACCTCTTTGTGTCTAATGGATTACACCAGTATAATAAATTTTATTAATATACAGAAATCCTTGTAGATGATGATAATTTACAATAGTATTAAGGACATAGAGGCCTTTAACAGATCTTTTAAGTTCTTTTTTTAGAATATTCTGAGTGTTAATATGAAGAAATTAAACTTACTTCAATTAAAATGGATTACATAAAGAATTAATTTATATAGCAATGATTTATTTGTATGTAGTAATAATAACTAAAAAAGTTTAAACAAATAAATTTAAATTGAGAACAGTTTAAATTAGTATTTAAACTTAATTAATTCTCAAATAAACATAAGAGATATTAAAAATAAGAAGTATTAATGTGTCTGATATTTTTTTAGAACAGGGGACCAATATTGTTGGAACAAAGTAACAACTTGTGTGCATAATTTATTTAGTGGACAACGTTGGGTAGATCAGTATGGAGAAATGATTATTACAGATAAAACTGGCGACGTTAACTGTAAATTAAATTTTGTAAAGGTACAGTTTATTTCATTTTCATTTAATTCTAATAATTATATTTTGAAAATTATTTATTTTGAAATATATTTTATAATAGCAATTAATTTCTTTTGGAAAGTTTATATTACTCTGTTTTATCATAATAAATTTTTTAACAATGTAAAGTACTTAAGTAGTATAGCACAATTTATTTCAAGAATTTTGGCTGGGGATATTTGCTACTCAAAAGGTGGTCTAAAAGTTTTAAAAATAATTTACACTGGAAGTTCATATGGGTCTCCAGCCCCTAGGCTTTCCATATCTTGTATTGATTTTCATCTACCTAATTCCATTCTCAGGATTAAGAAAGACAGACATATGGACAACAGTGGGAATATATAGGTTTGCAATTTGAAAATTGCAGCCCAAAAAATTATAAGAATTGAATGTCAGTGTTAACCTTTTAATGTTTTATTAACATGTTAAAAAGCATATATGATACTGATATTGCTTTTTTTAAAATTATCTTGCATGTGACCGTCGGGTCGGTATCCCTTCGATACCACGTCAGAATGACACCACTGTATCCTTAGGTCAATACAGAGACCACAAGTTCGCGTGAGCGGTTACGTATGAGGTTTGGACCCGAAATGGAGTGAACGGAGAGAAGAACGGAAGAAGCTGCACTCAAAGATGGTTTAAACATAAATAACTGTTTATTTATATTAAATTTACATTAGTTATACATCAGAATTTAAGGTTACAACATTAGTATTGGCTACATATCAGTTACGTGAATCGTGTTCATTCTAGTTCAGTTTCTAGTTACAATTGAGTTTACGATTGGTTTACGCGGAAAGAGAGCGAGCATACAATAGTGCGCGGGCAGGATAAATACCTTAACTTATACTGGTTTCTCAAAGTAGTTCTCTTGTTCAGTTGTTCAAAGTTCGTTGATGTTCTAAAGTTCAGTCAGTGAGGAAATAAACATACAGGTACAGTTCTTGAAGTTGATCTTGGCGGGAGGTGGACGTGTCGCACACACACAATCAATTCATAACTTCCCCACCTTACTCATCGGGCCTGTCCTTTTTAAATGAAGTCCTCTTTTTGGGCCTTTCCTTGATTTCGTCAGGGATGACGATCTCCTTGGACCAATGAGGTGACGGGTGACACAGAGATATACTACAGGTAATCTCAACAAGGAACCCAACTCGTGGGAATCGAGGTTTAACCAGATTTTATTGATTTTATTTTTCCCTTTTCTCTTTTAATTTTTTAATAATTTGTTCCGTCTTTATAAAGTTGCATTTAAAGTATAATTAAAATTTATAACAAAAATTAAAGTTTATAACACGAAATTTCTGACACTCACACATTTTTATTCTTTGTTGATGGAAGCATTACATTACTTAATTTATTACAATCATTTTCTACTTAATTTTGTTAGAAAAACTATAAAATCTGTATTTTTAATATCTAATCTAAATGAATGATCAGCTTCATTTAGGTAAAAGGGGAAAAATTTCTTTTTTTTTAAAATTGTTATATAAAACTATTGTGTTATTTTAAAAATTGTTTTAAAATATATAATTTATAAATATGTTTTGTTATTGATGTATTTAATTTCAAATATTTACAGGCTAGTTATTGGTCCAATAAGCGGCATGAAGTATACGGAACAGTTAGTACAAGTGAAGGAGAAGTAATACATAATTTGTTTGGAAAATGGACAGAATCTCTGTATTGTGGTGTTGCCCCAACAGCAAGATGTGTCTGGAGACCTGGTATTATAAATAATATCTTTAATGATAATGAATTTCAAATATTTATTATAAAAATTAAGTTATAAACTATACTTAGAAATATATAATGAATTCATCATATTACTCATTGTAAGTTTAAGATTTTTTAAATTAATATTGTAATTTCCCGTGAATAATCCATGGGTTATTTGTGTTTAAAAGTAGGTGCAGGTTGCGCAATGATTATGAATTTTTTGGGTTATTTATCAATTTTAACTTGCAGTTATTAACTCATTAATGTGGGAGAGATACAATACCTGTAGTCCCAAAGTGGTGTTAGTAAGTTATTCAATAGTATCATAAAAACAGAAACAGTCAGATGTCAGGTAATTCTTCTTTCTCATCAGAACTTCATAATACAATTAGGACTGTTACAACCTGACAATCTTCCTCTTTCTTGTCCTTGTTGAAAGTGACCTCCTTCATCCTTTTACACACAAAAAGGAAAATGTATTCTCCCATCTACCTGTATATATCCTTTTTTCCACCCTCCCCACTGGGTTTATTGTCCCTCTAGACAACTTACCATCAAGACAAAAGAGAACAATAGAACATTAAAAATATATATATAAACAATTTACTATAACTAAATATATTTACATATAATTCATGGCAGTCAACTGTCATATTATCTTTGGGATAGACCATCCCCAAAAAATTCCTGAGGTTTTCAGCCCATCTGGATTTGTTTCTAGGTCCCCAGAGTGGTAGTCTGACAGCTTAACCATTTATGCATCCATTTCCATTCATTACAAGTTTCATCACGTATAATACTACTATAAATAAAAGATTATTTGAATGAAATAAAATAAGGTCCAAGGATATTTAGACCTATATTAATTAAACAATGTATAAAGTAAATAAATTGAAAAATATAGTTATATATTATGAATTGAAGAATATAGCCTGCATTATTTAAGCAGGAAAAATTTGCCACCAACTATGATAAAATCCAAGTTGAAATAATGTTCTCAAATAGAAAGTAATGTGACTGCAGGGTCGGCACCTTTGTAGTGCCCCTTTTTTCAACCAAAATTTCTAAATCACTTAAGAAGTGCTAATTAACTTTTGCCTAACATTACAAAAATGATATCAAAAAATTAAAAACCACAAAGTATAAAATGCAAGTGAATTTAATTAATTATGACAGTAAAATAAATACTACATTACGAGTGTTTGGAGAAAACAGTTAAAACTTCCACTTTCTAGTAATGACTGCTATAATAAGCAGTTAGAAGCAACACCATACAGCTAACATTTGCATAGCATTACACAGTTAGTGGCAATTGGATATTATCAAGCTTTAATTGATATTATTAGACACTCCTACTTGAATCTGTATTTTGAATGCTGATAAAATTTTAATAATTTTTCCTATCTATATAATAACTCTAATGAGTATATTTACCACAATGAGTTATATTTAGACCAAGATTTAAATTTAAGTTCTGTTCAAATCAGTATGCCAGTTCTATATTTAGTTCAATATCAATGAGTTAATAGATTATTTTGCCAAATTTCTGTATATTAAATATCAATTACTTCAAAGTTACTTGAATAAAATTTTGCATTCATTTATTGAGCTCAGTTATGATAAATTCATAAAGTGTTTGATTAATCATATTGTTTTCTTTAGAAATGTATTCATACATTGTGCTTTATTGTGCACAGTCAAATAAGAAATTTTTTTTTTTTTTTTTTTAGGCCCCTTACTGCTCAGAGAGCACAAAGAGGCCAAAATAAGAAAGTCTGTATTGTACATACTCATGTTGTTATTTATTCTTTGCTCTCTCACTACAAGCATTATGTTTTGTTGCATTCTTGCAAGTATAATAGTAAATGATGAAATTAATATTTTCAATATGATTCACAAACAAACAGAGAACAAAGTGTGTATTTTTGTACAGATTACTTGTGGGTTATCTATATTTAAAAGACAGTTTGAAAGGTATGGGTTGTATGCCAATTTTAAATTCCAATTATGATAACTCATCTGTGGAGCAACTATTGTACCAACCTATCCTACTGTATATATCAATACAGTAGGACATACATAATAACAGATTTTGCAAATGTTTTTCTGTTTTAGCTATGCACGATATACATCATTGTGGATTATATGCCACCATGATTAATACACAGAAAAAAATATGGTATATTGATTTTTATTCCACTTTGAGATAAAAAATATCAGTGTCAAAATCTAAAATGATGATGATATTCTTTGATATCATGGAATTTATTTCACCATGTCAGTTAATGATAAAAGTATATTATAAGGAAATTTTGATCAGTTGGTTAAAGAACTCATTTAATAAGGCCATAATTTCAGTAAAAACGAGCTTATTCATACTGTATGGCATGTTGTGGCCTCATTTTAGAATGATGATTAAGTAGTTAGTAGTCATTGGTAAAATATAAAACTAAATCAAATTAAATTTATTTTTCTTTATTACTCTAATTTAGCCTTTAAAGAACATTACTTATTTCTCAAAATGATTTGCAAGTAAAACACTTTTATGAATGCAGAGTACATTATATATAATTTGCAAAAGACTTAATAGTAACAGTGCTACTAGAGTTACTAGATTTATTTAAATTTACTAAGGACAAGCATAGTTTACTCAAGAGAACTGAATAATAATAATAAGAATTTCAATCCTAATTTAAAGTTTATTTTATTAACAATTGAGTTCAAGAAATATTTTAATTCTTATATAAAATTTATATAATATTATGAAAATAAAATACATTATAATAATTAATAATTTACTAATGTTGTATTAATTTAAACTGTTTTTAACTAAAGTTGTTGTTTATTTTATAAAAGGTGCTATGCCTCAAGATTATGAAATGTATTATGGTTTTACAACTTTTGCTATGGAATTAAATGAGTTGGATCCTGATATGACTAAACTTCTTCCTCCGACAGATACAAGGCTTCGACCTGATCAAAGGTAATTTTTAAGAAATAGTTGATTAAAATTAAATTATAACATAATTTATTAAACTAAATATAGAAAGTTAATAGAGTTGCAGTAAGCTACAGACTAATTAGATGAAAACAGATTTATTGATTAATTAATAATTGTGAATATATCAATAAATTAAAATAAATTCAAAAAAATTTTGTCTCAGAATTTATAGATCTTTGCAGTAATCTCTCTGCAGTAAGAAATGATAATAAAAACATTAAGAGTATCTGTTGTGAGAATCAGAGGGCTTTATGACACAAAATGTAAGATCAGGCCTTGTCAGGCTAAACACCCTGAACTCCTGACACCAATTGTGAGAATCACATGTGAGATGATCACCTTTTGTTTAGGATGGTTTGATTATAGTAGACAAGGGAGATCGGCAAAATCTCTCTCTGTCCTATATGTCAGGAGCCTGACACCAGTTAGGACAGTTGTTATTTGCGACCTAACTCGCAATTTGTAGTTGAACTTAATTTTTAGGAGGGTTTTACTTCTACCTTACACATGGAATTGACAATATACATGGGAACAACGATAGAGTTAGACAAGTCTAACCTCTAAGTACTCAATGTCTCAACAGACCTCAATCTGAGAGAGTTCTCATCAAAAATAATAATTTGTTACCTGTTTACAATACATCCAAATGTGATGAAGATATCAGGAGTGTTAACAACATCTGGAGATGGAGATTAGGGAGTTCTATAGTTCTGGAGAGTTCTCCACAATTTGACACTTGGCATGGGTGTCAGAATGAACGATATCTATTATATGGCTAAAGTATGACTGAACATAACTGAAGTACTGTGGCTAAAGGACTGGTGCATGACTTAAGTCTAAGCATAGTGGCTAAAGCATGACTGAAGCACTGATCAAAGGTGACCCTTCATCTTATATACTCATTGGTCCCCCAATCGTATTGTTCAAAAATCATGCCATATTTTCCATTATGAGGAGGGCATTTCTGGCAAGTCAGGCATTTCTGGGCCGATAGTTAAGTTTGCTGCCTCACTTAACTATTGGTTTTGAAGGAACTACATCACTTCTCTCTATGATTCAGAGGAAGTGCAAAGGTAACAAGGATTGATAATTTTTCTATTATCTTGCTTTCAAAATTTATATTTAAAATATTAATTTAACAAAAATATTAAAATATTCCTTCTCAAATGTGATCCTCACATTGTCCTTTAGAAAAGAGGGATATATTGTCCCAAATGGAAATTGAACATTGGTTTGTATAATGGTAATTATTTCACAGTTTACTTTATGCCTGGACAAAAGTGTTTAGAGTTTAAGCCATATAATTACAGTAGAGCGTCGTTTATCCGAAGGTCGGTTATCCGAAACATCAGTTATCTGAAGGAATTCCAGTCGACAAATTTAAATTTTTGCCAGTGCTGTGGCGCTGTAATCTTTGGCTATGTCTTCGGCTACTCAAATATTTTACGTTTTTGATACTAAATTAACTTCTGAAGTATAATTTTTTATTGTTTTTATATTTTTCAATACATTTATTTTGTTTGTACAAAATAAAAAAATAATTTTTAACGATACAATAATCTTCGTTAGGCTTAACATCGACGAAAATTCAACACGAAGCGACACGCAACAGAGAAAAATTTCAATATGGGATAAATTAATATATTTTTTCGTACATAATTGGTTATCCGAAAAATAAGTTATCCGAACAACCCCAGTCCCCAATTGATTCGGATAAACGACGCTCTACTGTATTCAGTATAATTATTTATCTACACTGAATTGATGATTAAATTAAATATCAATAAAATTCAGTTTAAATTTAACTATTGGTTATTTTAGTTTTCTTGCCTTAAAATTATTTTATTTTAAGATAAAAAATACTACATAATTGAAAATTGTCTAGTTTATGAATTATGTTGATTAATCATATTGTTTTCTTTAGAAATGTATTCATACATTGTGCTTTATTGTGCACTCAAATAAAAAATTTTTTTTTTTTTTTTTTTTAGGCCCCTTACTGCTCAGAGAGCACAAAGAGGCCAAAATAAGAAAGTCTGTATTGTACATACTCATGTTGTTATTTATTCTTTGCTCTCTCACTACAAGCATTATGTTTTGTTGCATTCTTGCAAGTATAATAGTAAATGATGAAATTAATATTTTCAATATGATTCACAAACAAACAGAGAACAAAGTGTGTATTTTTGTACAGATTACTTGTGGGTTATCTATATTTAAAAGACAGTTTGAAAGGTATGGGTTGTATGCCAATTTTAAATTCCAATTATGATAACTCATCTGTGGAGCAACTATTGTACCAACCTATCCTACTGTATATATCAATACAGTAGGACATACATAATAACAGATTTTGCAAATGTTTTTCTGTTTTAGCTATGCACGATATACATCATTGTGGATTATATGCCACCATGATTAATACACAGAAAAAAATATGGTATATTGATTTTTATTCCACTTTGAGATAAAAAATATCAGTGTCAAAATCTAAAATGATGATGATATTCTTTGATATCATGGAATTTATTTCACCATGTCAGTTAATGATAAAAGTATATTATAAGGAAATTTTGATCAGTTGGTTAAAGAACTCATTTAATAAGGCCATAATTTCAGTAAAAACGAGCTTATTCATACTGTATGGCATGTTGTGGCCTCATTTTAGAATGATGATTAAGTAGTTAGTAGTCATTGGTAAAATATAAAACTAAATCAAATTAAATTTATTTTTCTTTATTACTCTAATTTAGCCTTTAAAGAACATTACTTATTTCTCAAAATGATTTGCAAGTAAAACACTTTTATGAATGCAGAGTACATTATATATAATTTGCAAAAGACTTAATAGTAACAGTGCTACTAGAGTTACTAGATTTATTTAAATTTACTAAGGACAAGCATAGTTTACTCAAGAGAACTGAATAATAATAATAAGAATTTCAATCCTAATTTAAAGTTTATTTTATTAACAATTGAGTTCAAGAAATATTTTAATTCTTATATAAAATTTATATAATATCATGAAAATAAAATACATTATAATAATTAATAATTTACTAATGTTGTATTAATTTAAACTGTTTTTAACTAAAGTTGTTGTTTATTTTATAAAAGGTGCTATGCCTCAAGATTATGAAATGTATTATGGTTTTACAACTTTTGCTATGGAATTAAATGAGTTGGATCCTGATATGACTAAACTTCTTCCTCCGACAGATACAAGGCTTCGACCTGATCAAAGGTAATTTTTAAGAAATAGTTGATTAAAATTAAATTATAACATAATTTATTAAACTAAATATAGAAAGTTAATAGAGTTGCAGTAAGCTACAGACTAATTAGATGAAAACAGATTTATTGATTAATTAATAATTGTGAATATATCAATAAATTAAAATAAATTCAAAAAAATTTTGTCTCAGAATTTATAGATCTTTGCAGTAATCTCTCTGCAGTAAGAAATGATAATAAAAACATTAAGAGTATCTGTTGTGAGAATCAGAGGGCTTTATGACACAAAATGTAAGATCAGGCCTTGTCAGGCTAAACACCCTGAACTCCTGACACCAATTGTGAGAATCACATGTGAGATGATCACCTTTTGTTTAGGATGGTTTGATTATAGTAGACAAGGGAGATCGGCAAAATCTCTCTCTGTCCTATATGTCAGGAGCCTGACACCAGTTAGGACAGTTGTTATTTGCGACCTAACTCGCAATTTGTAGTTGAACTTAATTTTTAGGAGGGTTTTACTTCTACCTTACACATGGAATTGACAATATACATGGGAACAACGATAGAGTTAGACAAGTCTAACCTCTAAGTACTCAATGTCTCAACAGACCTCAATCTGAGAGAGTTCTCATCAAAAATAATAATTTGTTACCTGTTTACAATACATCCAAATGTGATGAAGATATCAGGAGTGTTAACAACATCTGGAGATGGAGATTAGGGAGTTCTATAGTTCTGGAGAGTTCTCCACAATTTGACACTTGGCATGGGTGTCAGAATGAACGATATCTATTATATGGCTAAAGTATGACTGAACATAACTGAAGTACTGTGGCTAAAGGACTGGTGCATGACTTAAGTCTAAGCATAGTGGCTAAAGCATGACTGAAGCACTGATCAAAGGTGACCCTTCATCTTATATACTCATTGGTCCCCCAATCGTATTGTTCAAAAATCATGCCATATTTTCCATTATGAGGAGGGCATTTCTGGCAAGTCAGGCATTTCTGGGCCGATAGTTAAGTTTGCTGCCTCACTTAACTATTGGTTTTGAAGGAACTACATCACTTCTCTCTATGATTCAGAGGAAGTGCAAAGGTAACAAGGATTGATAATTTTTCTATTATCTTGCTTTCAAAATTTATATTTAAAATATTAATTTAACAAAAATATTAAAATATTCCTTCTCAAATGTGATCCTCACATTGTCCTTTATAGAAAAGAGGGATATATTGTCCCAAATGGAAATTGAACATTGGTTTGTATAATGGTAATTATTTCACAGTTTACTTTATGCCTGGACAAAAGTGTTTAGAGTTTAAGCCATATAATTACAGTAGAGCGTCGTTTATCCGAAGGTCGGTTATCCGAAACATCAGTTATCTGAAGGAATTCCAGTCGACAAATTTAAATTTTTGCCAGTGCTGTGGCGCTGTAATCTTTGGCTATGTCTTCGGCTACTCAAATATTTTACGTTTTTGATACTAAATTAACTTCTGAAGTATAATTTTTTATTGTTTTTATATTTTTCAATACATTTATTTTGTTTGTACAAAATAAAAAAATAATTTTTAACGATACAATAATCTTCGTTAGGCTTAACATCGACGAAAATTCAACACGAAGCGACACGCAACAGAGAAAAATTTCAATATGGGATAAATTAATATATTTTTTCGTACATAATTGGTTATCCGAAAAATAAGTTATCCGAACAACCCCAGTCCCCAATTGATTCGGATAAACGACGCTCTACTGTATTCAGTATAATTATTTATCTACACTGAATTGATGATTAAATTAAATATCAATAAAATTCAGTTTAAATTTAACTATTGGTTATTTTAGTTTTCTTGCCTTAAAATTATTTTATTTTAAGATAAAAAATACTACATAATTGAAAATTGTCTAGTTTATGAATTATGTCACAATGAAAAATATCAATTAAAATTTTATTTGAGTAAGTGATAATAAAAAATAGATTATAACTAAAACTAAAAACAATTTATTATGTTTTGTGTGTGCTGTGGGCTGCAATTTGAAAAAATTGTAGACCTATAAATTCCCACCGTCATCTGTCTTTCTTTAATCTTGAGAACTGAGTTAGATAGATGAAAGATGAGACCAAGTATGAAAACCTTAGAGGTCCCAATTAACCATTTACAAACTTTCGGTGCAAACTGGAAATTACATTATTTCAATTCAAAAACTTTTCCTTGAGAGGTGTTAGATGGATGACTGGCACGATTCTATTGTTAATGGAAAAGTATGATGTACTCTTATAGGGACAAGACCCTACTAATTTGATGTGAAGAGCATATCTTTCAAATTAAATAAACTAAAAATATAATTAAAAATTGCAGCCCGGCATTGTGACAGTGTCACAATAAATAATTGTTCATTTGTTTTATTGATTTCTTAATAGATTATTAGAAGAAGGAAATGTCCAAATGGCAGAAACTATAAAAACTCAATTGGAACAAGCACAAAGAGAGCGCAGAAAGAAACGTGAAGAAGAAAATATTGAACATATTCCAATGTGGTTTCGGTAAGAAAATATTTAATTTTAAGATTGGATTTTATGTAACTTTTGTGTGTTTTTGAACACAATAATATATTTATAACTTAACGTTTTGTAAATTTTCCACATGCTAATTCTTTATTCAGTGTCTAGCATTTTGAATTCATTATAAATTTTTCCAGTAAAATGTTTGAATGTGTAGATTATTTGTAATTGCTAATATTGAATTATATGAACATAAATTATTCAAATTATTATACTAAATTTTTTGTGAATATTCATATTTTAAAAAACATTAAAATCCAAACAAAAACATTTGCGATGTAAAAAAATTGCACAAGTAAAAAATTATGACAATTTAGATGTCAGTCAAATTTCTTTTTCTTAAGAATTTTTGTTTTGTAAAGATAAGCTTGGCACTTTGAAGTGATACCCACATGATTTTTACCTGTATTATTGTTTTCTATATTTTGTTTTGAAAGCTTATCTTTACCAAAGAAAAACTAAGAAAAAAAATTTGTAAAAACTGTCATCTAAATTATAAATTTTTAAACTAATGCAATTTTTTTAAATCTCAAATATTTTTTTTTGTATATCAATTGTTTCTTTGGTTAATGATTGTTGTTACATCAAGACCTACAGTTTTGTTGGCACTCAGTGACAGCTTCCAACTGAACACTTTTGATATGCTGTTTAGTAAAATTGTTAAAAAAAAGTTTTAATTTACATAAATTTCAGCTTTTGTTGTTCTGGATAACATTTTCAATAAAATTTTATTCTTATGAACATAAAATTAAGCAATAAAAGTAAAATACCAATAAACTTTTAAATACAACTTTAAAGTAATTACATATAAACTTAAAAAGTAAGTGAATGAGTGTTTTTATAATACAAATAATAAATTATTTTACTTCATTTATTATTTATTTTTGATGTAATATTTAGGAAAGAAAAAGATGATGGAAGAGAGGCTTGGGCTTATACTCACAAATATTGGGAAACACGAGCATCACCTGGTTTTGTCAACATTACTTTTCCTGTTAAAATATGGTAGCATTAAAAGAAAACAGGAAATTTGGCTAGCACATTTCTTTCTTATTGGCACTTTTTAAATCTTGACAATTGTCATTTGCCTGTGATTGGCACAAACATTAGAAAAATAGCATTAAAAGATTGCTACTTAAGATTATTGTTGATGTTTGGAATTATAATTGAATAAAGAATTAATGAAAGAGACAATTCAAACTAAAAGTTAATGACTACATTAANTATAGCTATTGAAATATAAGAATTGCTTTTAAAATTTTTTTATAAATTTCCTGTATTTTTATAAGAATATAGCTTTTATTATGTAGTAAAGTTCCTCGTTATGTTATGCATTTTAAAGCCAATTTGTTATTTAATATCTCAGTATAGTTTAATATGTTTATTAATTCAATGATACATTTTTTTGTCATGCAGGTTTTAAAGTGTTAAATGTTATAATCGTAATTATTGCTTATTAGTTATTAATATAATAAATTCATGATTTGCATTGTTATTCATCTAATACCTATGTAAATTTCATTAATTATTAAAAATTTAGTAATTTTTCACAATTAAAAATACTGAAAATAAAACGTAAAATTCAATCAAATGTGATAAAAAAAATAATAATAATACCAGAATTTTTTGACAAATTATATTTTTGGATATTAAAAAATTTTTATGCAAAACGTCATCTGATAAATTTGTTTTTGTGTATTTTTGCACAATAGATGTTATTATTTATATGCCACTGTAACTTTCTCCATTCATTTATAAATATAAAATTTCATTTTTGTTGTTCTATTAAAGTTCATTTCAATTACTATACTGTGTTTTTCTTTTGTTACGGTCTTTCATGTACTAGAAATATTAACATAACATTTAATTAATTAATCAATTCAAGCCCTAATCTAATGACTCTAAGTAGATAAATATATTTTCATCATCATTCTTAGCACATGTCAAAAGTATAATCAACTGAATACAGCTAATTACATATTTAATATTTATATAAATCTGTGTTTACTCAACATTATTTGATTTTTAAATAATATAAAAATGACTACAGTTTTGATTTCTATTCATTATCAAAGCACATTGCTTTATTCCAAGAGACATTTTCATTTCCAAATACATTGTTTTCTATAAATCAAATGCTTTTGAAGATGTACCCTCATACTCATAAATTTTTTTTTATGTTCAAGTTTTGGAACAAAGACAATTGAAAGAAAAAAAGAGTATTTGATGTAAAGAATTTGCATTTTAGGGAGAATAAACATTCTGGGGGAAGGAGCAGAATCACAAAAGCTCTTGTTTTATAAAAAATGATATATTTGGCGGTTGTTCAATTAATCAATGATAAACTATAACTAAATCAACACCTGTTCACTCGCTGAGAGATTTATTCTTAACCCTTAACTGGTTTCGTAAATTTTACAATCATAACTGGTATCATGGGGGCTGCGCAGCCCCCAAGCAAAATTTGCCTTTAGAGAGCAAGTTTAACAATGTGACACTTGTGTTTAAAGATAATATTTTATTTAAAACTTTAAAACTTGTATGGTTAAAATAAGAAATGTTGCTTTTTTGCAGCAGTTGACTAGTTATTGCTCAATGTTAGGTAATTTTATGATTGGTTGAAAGACTATCATTAGAATTGTTATGTACAGTAAGCTGGCAGATAGAAAAATACAAATATGTGATAAGGTAGTTGCAATTTTGAGTGAAAATTGTATAGTCACTATAAATAGCTTTTATAAGAATCGTGAAAAAAAATTTGACTTATGTATAAAAATAAATAAATTTGCTTCAGATGCAAGCTTCCTTTTCTTGCATATATAAAAATATATATATATGTGTCATCTTTTCTGATGTTAAACATTATAAATTTAATAATGTTAAATAACTGTTTCAAAATATACACTGTATATTATTACAAATCTTATGAGAATATCAAAAATTTGAAAAATGGAAATATTACTGCAATTATAATTTCGTTGATATAATAAAATAAAATTATATAGCTATACACAAGAATCTCAGATACGGTATAACTATATGATCAAAACATTTTCTAGTGCCTTTACAAGAAATAATGTATTATTAAAAATTATGGTTTTGTGCCAAGTTAATAAATAATTAATGTGCAGAAGTACATTTAAAAAATTCTGAATTTTTCTTTATTAATTTTGTTAAAATAATCATTTTTTTCAAAGAACGAAATTTTATAAAACTAGATTATGTCATTATTAAAAAGTTTTTCACAGTGTTATCTTTTAAATTTACAAGCAAATGCAGACATCTATATATACTAGTAACATAAAAAATTATATTACAAACATATACTGAAAATTTTAAATTCAGTAAAATAATTCCTACTTAGATATTGCATAAAACTCAGAAAACAAAGCACTGTTAAGTTGATTTCATACTACTTAAACATGATTGTAACATTATAATTTATTTAATAATTTAATGATAACAATGGCAATTTAATATATCAACTAATTTAAATAGAGAAATATAATTATTTTTTAAAAATATTTAATTTGTATATGGTAATGCTTGAAATGAAATACTCTGATATTACTGTAATTATGAAATCAACTGGAAAANTATTAATATTTATATTTTTTGTATTTTGAACTTGTTGTTCTATTTTTTGAAATGTTCTAATTTACCTGACGATGATCCATTGATTGGATTGAAAACGTTTGTGTTAAGAATAAATCTCTCAGCGAGTGAACAGGTGTTGATTTAGTTATAGTTTATTATTTTCTGCTGAGCACGCTTTGGGTTGTTTAATCAATGATATATATCGTACATGACAGTTGTAACAATACTAACAATACAAAATGTACTATATTTCTGGTAATTGTGATTAAAAATTTCAAAATATTATTTTTCTTTAGAAAAACCTTGCAAATTATCACACCTTTCATGCTAAGGCAAATTAGCTTTTTATTGGATTATTAGCAAGGTTGCTTTTTCTCTTAGTTCTACTTGCATGCTTCTTTAAATTAAGATGAATTGTGATTTACCATAGTCCCTTCAGCTGCCAATTTAAAGGTTTTTAATCTTTAAAATTGGTGTTTTTACTTCCCTGAATGAAGACCCAGTGGTTGGATTTGTGAGAAGCAAGTGCTCTGGTTGTTTCATTTTGTTGAATTAGAGTGAGGATTTAGTAAAGGTTAAACGATGCATGTGTTTGTGTAGAGGGATGTTATGTCTGAGTGTGAACATTCCTAAAATATCTTTCGGTAGTCTAAATTATGATATAAAAATGAAATGAAAAAATTTACTTGTACAATGAATGGCATTTCATCGTCTAAAGATGGGGAAGAGAAATCTTTTATTAGACAGAAGATGAATTATTTGTCTCTCCGCGAACAGCTATGACAGGAGCAAAAGGCCTGAACTAACCTAACCTAACCAAAAGGTATATCTCCATAACAAACAATTGTTTAGGGAGACGGGTCAGTCGAATATCACGTCTGGTGGTGAACCACGTCACATTCGGAAATAAAATTCGTTGTTGGCCTAGTATCACATTCGGGAGACAAATCCGTTGTCACAACTGGGAAAGAAAGTCTTGTCTAGGTAACGATGTCCAGTCCAGATGAAAAGCAGTCCTATCCTTGAGAGTATCACATCTGGATAGAAAAAGGACGAGTTAGAAAATCCGAAGAGGGTCATCAGATGTGTGGTTCCTTGGCGTAAGCAGTGGTCTACGCCAAGGAAACTGCACACACCCACACCAACGCGGTCTCTCACCTACGGCAGCTCTCCGTTCCGATTCCTCGTTCCAACTTTCGGAAGAGGATGGCACTCATGTAACGGACGAAGAAGCAGAAATCACGGCAAGAGGGGTTGACAACGAACTCAAACTCCAAGAAGACAACTTGGACAAATCATTATCCCTTCTACCCTCCAGAACAATGCTAAACGAACCCGGATGACTTTTAATTGGAATGGTCCAAGAACTTTCTCGCCTCCGGAAGATTCCCGTACAATACACACTACGGGAAGATTGTCCACCCTGTCTCTTCCGATACCAAATGAGACACTTTGTCAGAGACTCAGTCAATCCCCTCGTCTTCTGAGGCAGTCCAAGGAACTCCCTTTATCCTGTGCCATTTCCTCCTTCCATAGGAACATCCTATGAATCAACTCAAAGATCTTCACTCGACTATTGTAAAAAAAATTTTATAATAGTCGAGTGAAAACAAAATAAATCGAAATCTGAAGATTTCGAATGTTGGCTTTCGGATAAATTCCTCCGTGGACATGAATTTAGACATTTCGCATATTAATGCAATATCAAACCGAATAAGATCGATATTGCATATATTGAGACCGAAGATCAATTAATGTCATGAATTTGCAAAATTAAACTTTTAGTGTTCAGATATGATTGATAAATAGATTAGGCCTAGAAAACTTAATTTATTCTGTCAAATATAATTATAAAAATAATAACAATTTACCTGATATGCAAGACATATTATCACAGTATTAATATAGGTTTATATATTATCAATACGAAATGGTGTAATTTATTACAAAATACTTACGTTACATAGCAGATTGTTTTTACTTGGTGTTTAACTTGCCCTTCTCGAATTTATTTGTCATATTTTTGGACGATTTTCATCACTTGGAAAGCAGAAAAAATCTATATATTTTGTCTGCTGTGCTTAGAACAGTTTGGGGCAGATCGGCCGCCTACCATGTGTCTTTGAAAAGTAAAATATAAACCAAAAAATCCGCTTAGTCGATACAAGCACGTGCTAACTACCTCTAAATTGAATAAAAAGTGGATTATGATTGTATATATACAGAACTTTATGTTGACAGAGCCTCACTAATTTAATTTAGTTAAACATTAATTTATCTCCTTTTGTTCTAATTTTGTAATTCTGTGTATAGAATGTTGTTAATACCAAATATTTTCTATTTGTAAGATTTTATTATATTTTTTCTCCTCACATCATGGACTGTATCTAATAATTACGACAGTTAAATGGAGGTCAGTTTCTCATAGAAGTCCATTCGGGAAACACCCCTTTTGGCAGACGCTTACATTGTGCATTGTCTTATCCCATTAATCCAATCTATTCGATGCAAATTACTTAATACATTATAGAATTGTTGCGATAGTGTTTTAACTGATTACTCAGTATATTACGTAATTTTTATCTCGCTCATTTTTTCTATTTACTATGATTTCCTTCCT